GATGCGATTTCATGGCGATTTGAGAGGAAATACGCCTCGAGATACTGATTTCAGACGAGAAATCACTCACAAATCATGTCTTCAGTGGTGGATCGTCCGTTATCATCATCTCCTTATGAGAATCGGCGAATTTGGTTGAGAAAATCGCCGAATTTGATTGAAGGAGTCACCGATCTCTTTGCATGGTAAGAATTATTTTACGATCTGTTGTAGATCGTGGTGAATTAGGGTTTTCTGAATTGGGTTTTGAACAAGCTTTTGACTTTAGGGTTTTTGATGTTATGGAAATTAGGACTCTTCGAATTTGGGGTTTTTTACTTGTTTGGCTCTGATTCGTTTGACTTCGTTGGATTTTGTAAAATTAGTTCATGTTGATATCGTCGCATTTATGCATGTGTGTTATCAATGTGTAGATGATTTATTTATATAGTACTCAGTCCCAGAAACTCGTTTAGCTTGGTTTTTATGTTGATTATCTTATTTGTTGTGAGAATTTTGATCTTATAAGTGATTTGTGTTTGCAAGGGAACGTGATATATCTATATATTTGCATTATATGTGTACATATTTGCACGTCTTTACCCTCTGTTTAACATCATTCTGCATCATATAAGCACCATTTAGCTCTAGTTTAGTTTAGATTTGCATCTTAGAGTCTTAGGATAGATTTGTACATATTTCTCTTCTTTTACTCTTTTTCAGGTGGTACTTGAACTAAATTATCTGGATTACTAGAGTCTGGAGGATCGGAAAGGAGTGCAAAAGAATGGATTCGCAGAGGATTTGCAAGGTCTGGAGCAAACAGGGAGCAGAGGCTGCAGAAATCAGTCATGAATCATCAGGAATCACCGGTGAGAAGCACTTGGAATAGTGGAAGGATGGAGTCTTAGCAAACCCACTGAAGTTCGTGACTTGGGTCAGAATCAGGATATTAGTGCCCCTAAATCTGTGCACAAATATCCCAGGTTCTCCCCTTGTTATGATGGAGCATCAAGACTCTCCAACCGTTTGAATAGGCGCATCAAACCGGCTGAAGAATAAGCAGAAGAAATTGATGTCCCTTTATATCGGTACCCACTGAGAGGAAGACCGATATACTGCGCCCATCGAGGGGCTGGTATCGCGACACGAGAGCTGCTGCACGCGCTGGATGGGCACCCGAAATTGGTCACTTCCCTGATATGGAGTGACCGATATTTTATGCATTTTGTTGACTTTTTCCGGATCGACCATTGACCTGAGCTGGGCGATCCGCTTTTGTCTCGGAGCAACCCAGGTACTGTTTTAAGGGGGTATAAATATGTTCTTAACCCCAAAGAAAACCTAAGTCTGATTTTCTTTCCTTTTTACGCTTTGGAAGCTTTCCTTTTATGTTGTAGGTTGAATCGATCCTTAGAGTATTGATACTTTGATGTTCTAAGTTCTTATCTTTATAAAGTTTATATCTTTAGCTTAAAGTTTGAGTCTTTGTGCTCGTTTGGTCTCTGTTTTGCATTTTTCTTTACATCCTTCACTCGAACTCAATCATGGTTTTTCCCGTAGCTATGAGTGAGTAGTTCGCTTGTCGAGTGTCGGGTTTAAAACGACCAATTTAAAAATTTCCCTTCAGATTATTATCATCACAGATAATAATCCTCAATTGGATCAATACAACAAGCGGAAAACATAAAACAATTAAACCAACTCAATCAATTCAATGATCCCATACTTATTAAATCTAGCCGGTT